GCTGGGTTAAAAAGGGACAAACCCAGCTATTGGGTTGTTTTGACCCAGCGGTTGTGTTCAAAACAACCCAACTGCTGAGTCAAAACAACCCAATAGCTGGGTTTGTCCCTTTTTAACCCAGCATTTTTTTTAGTGTAAATTAAACATATAACTTCAGCTTATTTTATTTCAGCTAGCCAAAGCAACATTTCTCTTTTTCATTTAGTTTAACTTGAAGTCCTAACAACTATATTAAAAATGTAAGTGAAGTTGAAATTAAAACAGAAAATATGAAAATAAAATCTAAATTCAAATATTAATAAAACTATAATAGTATATCACTGATACTAAAATAACACTGTCTCAAATGATAGTTTTTTGTAAGTACAGTATGTAATTTGAATTCAGCTTTCTATCCTTATTTGTAATGTCAAAATGAAAACCATAAGTTAATTTCACACTTTTAAGAGCCTCCAAAAAGCGTTTGATGGCATTAAATAATATAATTAAATATATGTGTAGCTTGCAAACAGTTTTATTCTCAGAATAAAACTCTAATATGCTTCTTTAAGAAACATTCGTATTATTATTGTCAATGTTGAAAACATTGTTTTAGCGGTTTAATATTTTTGTGGAAACTGATACTTTTTTTTAGGATGCTTTTATGAATGGAAAGTTCACAAGAACAGAATTTATTTAAAAAAGCAACATTATAAATGCCGTTACTGTCACTTTTGGTACATTTAATGCGTCTTTGCTGATGGTGTGGGTGTGTAGCATACAGGAGGAACTATTTCTGATGTTTGGATTTGACCCTGATGACTATTTGCGTTTTAGAGGAAGTGCGCTAAACTGAGGCTGTTTTCCATAGAACGAGACATCAAGTCACATTATAAATGAACTGTAATAATCTGACAGAGGAAGAGAGAGAGTCACTCATAAATCAGCTGATTAATCACTGCACACTAATCAGTTAATTGAAACGGCAGTGAGCTTCTGGTATTGATTTAGCAATAGCAGCGAGTTATGTGATATTAGCCGCTTTGCTCATCATAGATGTTTTCCTGAAACAATGCAGACAAACATGAAGAACCCTTACTGTGTGCCTGGGTACATTGATATTTACCATGGTATTGAATTATTACTATATTCCAATGTACTTCAATAGTATTATCATGGTACATGTCCCAGAAAATATGATGCTTATGATGCTTTATTTGTCTTCTTTTGTCTTCATAGTGAGTGACCTTCAGGAAGAGGGTAAGAATGCCATCAACGCCCCACTGCTGCACGCCGGCCCAGAGCTGCTCCCTGAGGACACGCTGCTTGGTAACATTTGGCTTCTTATCGTCCATTAAAATCAATGTAATGTCTGACTCCTCCACTAGATGTCACTAAGAATAGAGGGCTGTTGTGATGCTGTATATCTGTAAATTAGCATCACTCAGATTATTGCAGAAAATAATTCAATCTTTATTTTTTTATCTTTTCCTGAAAGCTTAAGTTAGAATAGTTTGCAAAAGCACGATTATAAACACAACAAGGTTGTGAAAGTGACTAGTGAGTAGATGAGTTTACATGTTTGGATGTTTAATGTCCCCAACAACCTCTGTAGTCCCATTTAGACACTTTTTTACAAGCTTTTAAAAAAATCACAGTGATTGTGTTTTCATCAAAAATGGAAATCTGCTGAAAATGTACTCACCCTCAGGCCATGTAAGATGTAGATGAGTTTGTTTCTTCATCAGAACAGATTTGGAGAAATGTATAGCATTCCATCACTTGCTCACCAATGGATCCTCTGCAGTGAATGGGTGCCGTCAGAATGAGAGTTCAAACAGCTGATAAAAACATCACAGTAATCCACAAGTAATCAAAGTATTTTCACTTGTAAATGGTGCTTTATCTGTGCGTATTTCTCTCCTGATTCAGAGAAGCTGACTTTTTTGCTGGGGAAAGCAATATTATGGATAGAGGACTTGTATTTTAGCTGGAAGCAACTAGTTCAAAACATCTTTATAATGGATTTGTTTCTTGTAAACATGCAGCTTTTTGCTTTGCAAGACATTAACTGATGGACTGGAGGGGTGTGGATCACTTGTGGATTATTGTGATGTTTCTATCAGCTGTTTGGACTCTCATTCTGACGGCACCCATTCACTGTAATGCTAAATTTCTCCAAATCTGATGAAGTAACAATCTCATCTACATTTTGGATAGCCTGAGGGTGAGTACATTTTCAGCAAATGTTCATTTTTGTCTGTTTTTGTTCTCTTAGTTATGAATTTAAAGAGAAACATCTGAGACAAAGCTGGCACTTAAAGGGGTCCTATTATGCTTTTTCACTTTTTCAACTTTAGCTAGTCTGTAATGTTGCTGTTTGAGCATAAAAAAGATCTGCAAAGTTACAAAGCTCAAAGTCCACTTCAAAAAGAGATATTTTATTTAACAGAAATCAATTTTCGAAAACTATAATGAACGACTCTTTTGGACTACAACACGTATTTTCCGGGATTTGTGACATCACAAATATCGACGAATGGGACGAGACCTGGTTGAGCTGCACTAGAGAAGGCAACGAGTGTTATCATTATGTCGGAGACACGCTAGCTTTCCCAAAGCAGACGATCTTAGAGTGGTTACAATCATCCGGGTTTAAATCGCGCTCAAATTGATTTGATATTGACGCAATATTTACACTGAAGCTCGCAGGCGGCTATGTTAAAGGGCGTGACATTTCCTGACCAGTCGCCGAGTGAGCCAATCACAACACACACTGGCCAAGCTAACCAATCACAACACACACTGGCCCAGCTAACCAATCACAGCACACACTGGCCCAGAGAACCAATCACAGCACATTTCGTATTTCACAAGGCGGGCCTTCATTTGATACAGGAACTATTCAAGCCGTTCATGCCAGACTGGGGAGAGAGGTGTTGTAATAATGTAAAATATGTGAAAAATAATGTGTTTTTCGAGCAACCTAGTATGAGAGCCTGTGCTAGTACACCCCCAAAACAAAATCAAGACTTTGTAAAAGAGCATAATAGGACCCCTTTAAGCAATGCATTACTAAGAAATCCTAAACTAAGTTTTGTGGTATCGTTGGGTGTGGAAGACACTTTTCGTTTGCTCCATGTCTATTACTTACCCTGATTTCTGAGTCAGACAGATGGTGAAATGCACCCACACCCAAGACAGTTCTTCAGTTTTTTTTCTTTCTTCCTTGATTTTTGCAGAGGAAAATGCAGAGAGGACCATTCTAGACCCCACTTCCAGAGAAGACCTCAATTTTAAAGACCTCCAGAAGGTAGAAAACACCTTTTCTGAAAGCTTGGATGAACATTTCAGAGTAAAGTCTGTGGAAAGGGGAAAAAAAGAAAAGAAAAGAAAAGAAATGGCAGATAAAGACAATAATGCCACTTTAAATTCGACATTAAAGTATGTGGTAACACTTTACTTGAAGGGGTGTGCATAAGACTGACATGACACCTACATAATCATGACATGACACATGTCATGAATATGAAGGTTTTTTGTGCATGTTTATGACAACTGTCATTAAGTGTCATTCGCTCAGTTATGTCATTTTTAATGCAAATATGACATTATTTGACCTAACCCTAACCTAACCCTACCCCTACCCTTACCCCTAACCATAGCCCATAATAAAGACATCTCAAACAATGTCATCTTTGCATTAACAATTACATAACTGAGCGAATGACACTTAATGCTAGTTGTCATAAACATGCACAAAAAACCTTCATATTCATGACATGTGTCATGTCATGATTATGGAGGTGTCATGTCATGATTATGAAGGTGTCATGTCATGATTATGAAGGTGTCATGTCAGTCTTATGCACACCCCTTCAAGTAAAGTGTAACCAAGTATGTTTGGAGTTTTAGCTGTGTTATTACACCTGGTCATCGTTCCTCTTTCCTCAACTATATATTACATATTTATATTTAATTTATTACAGTTTTATTTTAATTAACCCAATAAATTATGTTTTTAATAATTTTAATTTTAGTTAACAATAACAACACTGCCTAGGCCTAGACTGTAGAGCATAAACATGGGGCAAAAATGTTGAAGATTAAATGATAAAAACTTAACAGAAATCACCAGTGATTGTTATTGGTCCATTCTAATCAGTGCTGAAAAAAATAACATGATAATAAAAACCTATCACACTTTAGAGTGAACATCTGGCCCACTAAGCCACGCCCATTTTGCATAGTTACCATTCTACTCACTGACCCATTTTCTATGGTACGAACTCTTCCTCTCAGGTTCTCATTGACTGGATCAACAGTGAACTGGAGGAGGACCGAATCATCGTGAAAGACCTTGAGGAAGATCTGTATGATGGACAGGTGCTGCAGAAACTGTTCGGTGAGAGAAAGACTTAAGACAAAGATCTTTTCCATTCTGATTCTCGTGTTGAACTTCTGTTTGGTCTTTTTCTGTGGTGTTTTCAGTGCAGTGAGGATGCTCTGTGTTCTGTGTGTCGTGTCCTTCAGAGAAGCTGTCGGGTCATAAGCTGAATGTGGCAGAGGTGACGCAGTCAGAGATCGGACAGAAGCAGAAACTGCAGACGGTTCTAGAGGCTGTTAATGGAGTTCTCAGACCGCTGGACTGGAACACGGAGTGGAGTGTCGACTGTGAGCACTGAAACACACTCGCATTTAAAGGAACACTCCACTATTTTTTAAAATAGGCTCATTTTCCAACTCCCCTAGAGTTAAACAGTTGAGTTTTACCGTTTTCGAAGCCATTCAGCCGATCTCCGGCTCTGGCGGTAGCACTTTTAGCTGTAGCTTAGCATAGATCATTGAATCTGATTAGACCGTTAGCATCTCGCTCAAAAATGACCAAAGAGTTTCGATATTTTTCCTATTTAAAACTTGACTCTTCTGTAGTTACATCGTGTACTAAGACCGACGGAAAATGAAAAGTTGCGATTTTCTAGGCCGATATGGCTAGGAACTATACTCTCATTCCGGCGTAATAATCAAGGAACTTTGCTGCCGTACCATGGGTTGCAGCAGGCGCAATGATATTACGCAGCGCCTGAAAATAGTCCCCAGCTAGGTAACTTCCAATAAGCCTATTTTCAGGCACTGCGTAATATCATTGCGCATTGTTTTTTCAAAAATAGTGGAGTGTTCCTTTAAAGGAACAATTCAACCAATAATAAGAATTAATAAAAATGTATCCGAGTTATCATCATTGCCTAAAACTAAAACTATTAAAAACATTTTTGTTAATAAAGCTCAAATAAAATAAAATGAGCAACTAACTGAAATAAGTTTAAGCACCAAAATTACTAACGGAAAATAAATAAAAACTAAACCTGAAACGGTAAAAAAAAACTAATACTAATGACAAAACATACTAAAATGAAATGAAAATTGAGTATATTTACTACTACTACTAATAAATAATGCTAAATTATTTCCCCCATTCTTATTGGTTGACTGAAATATTAGGAAACAAATATAATAAGGGAACAAATGTAAAAACAAAAGTGAATTCCAAATATGAATACAAATGACAATAGTATAAATAATGCCATACAACATGACATTTACCCATTCTTAATGGTTAAATTAAATATTATGAACACAAATATAATTGTATATATAACTAACTACAAATAAATAAAAACTAAAACTGAAAAAGAAAAAGAAATAAAAATGAACCTAAGTAATTAATGACAAAATCACATATTAAAATGAATAAAATTGTAATAAAATATTATAAAAAGCTATTAATTAAATATTATTAAAACAAACATATATGTATATATTTATTATTCCATGTAACATGCTCTAAGTTGTGCACAAGAGACAGTAAAATTGAGAATTTTTTTTATTTTTAATTAAATTCATTTTTAAATATATGATCAAAAATAAAGAATTGTGTTATCAATTGTATTGTTGATGTTAAGTCTGTCTTATCTTCAGCAATCCATTCTAAGAACCTGGTGTCCATCGTGTACCTGCTGCTGGCGCTGGCCATCTACTACGCGGCACCCATCCGCTTACCTGAGCATGTGTCCGTCAAGGTGATCGTGGTCAAGGTATGCTGGGTTTATTAAAGTGTGAAATTGAACATTATATCAAATACCTTCACCCTAATTACAAAGGTTTGTGTTTGTCTCAGAAAAAGGAGGGAATCCTGCAGACTGCTCATGTGACCAAACAACTCACAAGTACCACAACAGAGTAAGATAAGATGCTCCAATGTGGTCATCTAGTGGTGAAAGATGATTATAACAGAAATTTAGGCTTTTGTAGTTGAGTGTGTGGTCTGATGCTGACTGTGCGTTCACTGTTTCCAACAGAATGATGATTGGAAGATCAGGCAAGTATTTTCATACACATTTTCATGTTTTTCCTTAAGAATCAATAAGCTGCTGGAAAATCCAGGTCATACAGAGGTCTAGTTTAAAAAAAAAATAGTAGCTGGCTCATTGCTGGTCTATGGAAGCCCGTTTCCGCCACTGAATAAAAAAAAAAGAAGGCTATTGCGCCAGAATTGCGAGAAAAAAAGTCAGAATTTTTTTTGCTATTGTGAGTTTATATCTCGCAATTCTGACTTTTTTTCGCAATTGCGGTTTAAAGTCAAAATTTGAGGGGGGTAGACTGATATGTTATACTTTATAACTCGCAGTTCTGACTTTTTTTCTCATAATTGCATAATACAAACTCGCAATTCTGACTTTTTTTAATTGTGAGATATAAACTCACAATTCTGAGAAAAAAAGTCAGAATTGCGAGTTTGTATCACGCAATTATGAGAAAAAAAGTCTGAATTGTGAGATAAAAAGTAGCAATTAACTTTTTCTATTTTTTATTCAGTGGCGGAAATGGGTTTCCATACTGGTCCGAGGTGGTTTATTCAAGTAGAACCTATAAAACCAGTGAACATCAGGAACTAGTTTTAGCTGTATTTCCCACAAGTACATTATGATGGTTCATCTGGTTTTTTTATTAGTCTGGGAAAAATGGTCAAACACTATTTAATTTGTTGTCATTTGCAGAACGTGATGCTTTTGACACCTTACTGGATCATGCACCTGGCAAACTGAATGTAGTGAAAACAGTAAGGACCGGTTTTTTATGCGACAAGAACTTCTGTGCAATGGTACCGATTATACAAAAATGAACCTTGAATGTCTGTTTCTTTAGTCGCTGATTACATTTGTGAATACACACTTGAACAAACTGAACCTGGAGGTGACGGAGCTGGAATCACAGGTATGAACTTTATCTGTTAACTCTCACACAGATCTGTAGATCTAAACCGCTCAGAAACCTCTTCATGTGTGTGTGAAGTTTGCAGATGGTGTCTATCTGGTGTTACTGATGGGATTGTTAGAAAATTACTTTGTGCCGCTGTACAACTTCTACCTCACGCCTGAAAGCTTCGAACAGAAGGTAAGTGTGCCACAGTGGTCGAGTGTGGACTGGTAAGGTCTGACGTGGTCTAAAGAGGACTGATTTGTTCTGTTATGGTCTAATGTAGTCTAATGGTTTGATGAGGTCTGATTTGTATTTATTAAATACCTCATCAAACCAAATCAGACCCTGTCTAGACTTCATAAGTCCACATCAGACTAAAATACACCATTTCAGACCACATCAGACTCAAATCCACATCAAACCATTATCCGACCTTATCAGATTTCATGAATCTCTTCAGGTGATATCACACTCAGACCACATCAGTCTCAGTGAGTCCACATTAGATGAATAGTATTTATAAAGTTTGATTGGGTCTGATATAGTTTGATGTGGACTTGTTAAGTCTAAGATAGATTCTAACAGTATCTGATGCGGTTTGATTTGTTTTCAGATATCTCATGTGGATTCATGAAGACCTTGTCAGACTTCATGAATCCACATCAGACTATATCAAACAACACCATGCTAGACCACATCAGACCTCGTCAGAACCAATCAGACTTCATGAATACTGTTCAGACCATATCAGACCACATCAATCGCAACAAGTCCACATCAGATGAATAGTGTTTATGAAGTCTGATATGATTTGATATGGACATGCTGATATGATCTGATGTGGACTTGAGTCTAATGTGCCGTCATTATGTCTGACAGGGTCTGATGTGGTTTGAGGAGGTCAGGTTTGTTTTCAAATGCCTTATTAGAATTGCACCATACCCTGTCAGACATTATGAATCCACATCAGACTGCATCATAACACTTTAGACTAAACAAGTCCACATCAGACAATTTGTATTTATGATGTCTGATACGGTTTGATATAGACTTGAGTCTAATGTGCAATCATTAAGTCTGACAGAGTCTGCTGTGGTTTGATGAAGTCTGGTTTGTTTTAAAAAACCTCATACTGCATCATACCCTGTCAGACTTTATGAATCCACATCACACTACATCAAACCACATTAGACTAAAGTCTACATCAAACCAGTCTGATTATATTGTGAATACTGCTCAACAAGTATGTGGTCTAATCTAATGCGGTTTGATGTGGTCTGATGTGGACTTCTTAAGTCCGATTATGTGGACGTTATGGAATTCTTATGGCATTAAACTCACAATTACTTGAGCTTTTCTATTTTATAACATTTAAAACTGGTTTTGTACTAATTACTATGAAAAGGATTGCTAGAGTGTTTTTCTGTCTTGTAGGTGCATAATGTCTCATTTGCTTTCGAGCTCATGCAAGATGGTGGATTACAGAAACCCAAAGCGAGACCAGAAGGTACCAGAAAAATCAGTGCCAGCAATGTTACATCAGCGTTATATACACAACCTTTAGACATCATAACAGACCAGCTCATTGTCTGCATCTGTTTCATAATGTTACCCACATTATCCACTAGATGGAGATGTTCTTCAGTTGATGCAGCACACTACTTCTCACTAAACATGGTTTGATGTGGTCTGATGTGGACTTCTTAAGTCCGATTATGTGGACGTTATGGAATTCTTATGGCATTAAACTCACAATTACTTGAGCTTTTCTATTTTATAACATTTAAAACTGGTTTTGTACTAATTACTATGAAAAGGATTGCTAGAGTGTTTTTCTGTCTTGTAGGTGCATAATGTCTCATTTGCTTTCGAGCTCATGCAAGATGGTGGATTACAGAAACCCAAAGCGAGACCAGAAGGTACCAGAAAAATCAGTGCCAGCAATGTTACATCAGCGTTATATACACAACCTTTAGACATCATAACAGACCAGCTCATTGTCTGCATCTGTTTCATAATGTTACCCACATTATCCACTAGATAGAGATGTTCTTCAGTTGATGCAGCACACACTGTTTTCCTTCACAATGACAGTTAACCTATTCAAGCCTCTGTCTGTTTAACAGTGATTCTGTTGTTTGTGTCCTGCAGACGTGGTGAACTTGAATCTGAAGTCAACACTCAGGGTGCTTTACAACCTTTTCACCAACTACAAGAACTCAGAGTAGCACTGAAAGCGATCCGAGGAAAGTCGCTACATGCCTCACTCTGCGCTCACACATGCACACACATCCCTGGTGTTACTTCTGTATGCAAGAATGAAATATTTTGTATTATTTGGCTTATTTATGCCCAGAATCGAATGTATTCAGCCTTAAAGATGCGTCAGTGTAGCAGCTCATTCAAATATTTTATTTTTCTCGCATTTGACTTACGCAAATGAGGCCTGGCATTGCTTTAAGCACTACACCGGAATGACTTTTTGTGCTGGAATGCACTGAGTATTTTATTCTAATAGAAATACTGTAATTATTTCAAATAAACAAGTACTTTCTACATGCTGGAATGAATTCATTTTGACTCTTGATGTTCTCAAAAAATGAATTGATAGAGTTTTTTAACCACTTACACTCAATCAGTGATTGCTTCAGTGTTCTGGGTGGTTACTAAGGTACTGTTATTCAGTTTCTGACAGTTCCGTCCAAAAATTAGGCACTTGTAATGATAGATTATATTACATTTTAAAATACTCGTAATCAGACTACAGTTACCTTTTTATTGATAACTTGATTACGTATTTACAAAATAGCAACAAATGATTCATTATTTATTGATTCTGCCTAATTCTTCTTTTTCATCTTTCTAAAAAAAGCCTACTGCTTATATACATTCAGAAAGTTATCCAGTTTTGTGGATATTCACACAAAGACCAGTCACTATGGCTTTAATTACACAGAGCAAGACTACTGGATTTACAAAAATCATTTCAACTTTAAGAAGTGTTTTCTCAAAATTTCAACATGGCATCAATTAAAGTATTATTCAGTGGGTTATTATGACATATCAATGTCTTTTTGTCTTTCGGACACATTAAAATGCACAGATTCAAGTTTATTATGTCTTATATATAATGCAGAGATTCACAAACTTTTTTTGTCAGCCGAACCTCTTTCACCTAATATATTTATCTGAAGTACCCCTGAGATTTTAAGGTAATAAGTTAACTAACTAACACATTTGCATGTTCACGGTTCTCTGACGTTGGATAATGGTCACGTGACATGCAGGTAAACATATTAAATCTTTTTTGTATGTGCTTTAATTTGATTGTTGTTATTTTAAAATGATTTATTTTAGTTTTACATTTTTATAATTTAATTAATATAAGCTTTTCAATAAATTCACGAGCCCCCTGCAGTTCCTTCATGAACTCCAATTTAGGAAACCTTGATGTAAAGAGATATTTAATGCACTTCATTTTGTTAATAACAACAAATGAAATATATTTTCCTCCTCTTTTATTTTTACGTCAATATGGTAAAAGATTATCCTATTTAAATCAATGTGATATAAAGTTAGGTCAAAAGTAATCTAAAATTAATCAAAGTAGTCTGATTATATTACCTAAAATGTGTAATGTAATGGATTACGTTAATACTACATTTTTTTTGTCATGTTATTTGTAATCAATTTGCGTCCCAAAGAAATCTACCCAGCCCTGGTTGCTGAGGTCTTCTGGATGGTTTCTAGGGAGTTGCTATGTAATTTCTTGGGTTTCGTAGGTTGTTGGCAGGACATTACATGGGTGCTCAGACTGATTGGTAATTTGTTGCTAGAGTGGTTGCTTATTGGTCCAAGTCAAGCGAACCCCCAATATTCCATAGTCATTGCGTCCCATAATTTGAACCATTAATGTCTCCAGCACGAACACAAAAAGTTACGTGTCAACCTTTAATGTACGTATATCATCTGGAAGCTGTAAATTTGTAACACTAAATGTGAGCAACACTAATAGTGATGCTTCATGTAGCAAACGGCACTAAATAAATTAAAGGTACAGTGTAAGTCTGTCATAATGAATCACACTAAATGAATCTTTAAACCTGTGTGAGACACATGAACATTTATACAGACCAAGGTTTTTAAGCATGAATAATTCTGTATATGAAAACTGTTTATTTTAATTTAATAGACTGTATTATCAACTGCATAGCAACTATGTTGTTTTAACCTCTCTAAAATCCAATCAGAACTCATAAGGGACCCTACAGCGATACCCTGGCAACCAACTTGCAACCGCAAAGCAAAACTCTAGCAAACACCTAACTCCTATGCAACCGCTCAGCATCATGTAAGGACACTCCGAACACCTTTGCAACTGCGTAACAACAGTTTTGCATGGGCAGACACCATTCTCATTTCTTCGGGGGCCTACGCAAACCGTAGTTTCCAGTGTGACTGTATCTCTCAGGATGACGCAGAATGTAAACACATCCACAGATGGGTGAGTCTAGTCTGAAGCGAAATAATCCTGTTGTTTTCAGATGCACCTTTGAGGGTCTTTTTTCAGTTGTTTGTTCTGGATTCAAACTTGCGTTTAATGGGGAAATTCATTGGGATGGTAACCCTCCGGCCCAAATTACCTCTGGTTTTTCTAGTCGAAGGGAGGCGTTCTCTCCATCACAGTAAGAGAGAGTGGAAAATATATGCAATTGTTGCTCTCAAACCTGGAGCGTGTTATTTGAAGAGAGGAAACATCATATCACTATTTGGTTGTTTGCTAGTGAACGTTATTGTCTGTTACTGACTCAAATATTCATGTTTAGACCCCTGTACAGTACAGCCTTGTTAGAGGGTCCTGTGTGTGTTTGCTGCACTGTGTGACAGTTTAGAACATGATTTGTGCTTCTACAAAATACAACGAAAGAGGAAGTGGTGCCTTACCACTTCCTGGCTGGTGTTTGAAACAGGCCTCACCCGTATATGAGTTCTTGTTTTTGTTTTTAGTCGATTCAGAAAGATGGTCGGTTGTGTTGTAGAAGTTACTCGATCCTTGTAGGAAAGGTGACAGGACCATTTGGACGACAGTTCATCTGAAAGAAGAAGGATTTCTCCAGACGTGTGGCGAGAGCTGAGGTGAAAGTTTTGACAGCAAACATGGCTGTACTGTATTGCTCGTTCATAGCATCTCCGTAGACTTCATGGATTTCTCTTTTAGGTTCAATCACGCCTTTGCCTCAGATGTTTCTCCTAGAATTGCTTTGGAGAATCAAAATTGATACAACTGTTGATGAACATTAATTGTAAAGCTAATCTGGATAGCATATTTCAGATAAACATCTGTGAAGTTTCAGTTTGCTCTCAATTTTACCTCATTGCTACACATTTAAAGCAATAGTTTACTCTAAAATGAGAATTATGATGCCTTTATATGTGCTTTGGTTTTCAAACAGAAGCACCAGAAATCAAATGCCTGCTGAGTGAAACTATTAATAAAGTTCACTTTTTGACAAAAAAACATGTTTTGAAACAGTCAAAAGAATGGCAGACTGTGGAGCTGAAGAGGAAAAGGGCGACTTCGGCAGTCCTCAGGGTGAGCGATCATCACATCATCATATGGCAATGTTAGGACTGTGCATCCCAATTACATTCTTCTACTGTGTAGCTACTTATGTACTTTGCTAATAATGGTAAATAACAGACGTTTGGCTACAGTATGTACACTAGTTTTGGGACAATATATAAAAATATCTTAATTGTTCTTATTACCTAACATACTGTATATCACTAAAATGTATGTTCGAAACCACACTAGTCTTAGTACTAGCTACTATTTAATTTGTTATGCAGTATATAGGCCTACTGTGCACAAAATGCAAATGTTCTGTATGCATGGAATACCCTTCTAGATAAGCCATTATGTGTAGTAATACAACTAGAGCACATTAAACAGAACAGTATATCCCACAATGCAATGCACTCAGCTTAACCTCACATTTCCAGTATAATGAAAGAACGGGAAATAATTACAGCCCTAATTTTTTGATGTAATATTAATATTTTAATAATAATAAAATGTTTAGTAGAATTAGGCATACATTCAGAACATACAGTATGTAGGCTACTTTAAACAGTGAGAAGCCATTCAGAAAATATTTTCTGTCCATGTCTCTTTTACAAGTATGAGGTTGCTGACATTAAATTGGAGGTCTTTGGAGGGTGAGGTTTCTGGAGAGGTTGTGTCTAATTAAGGCTAAACATCTGAAATGGCATGCAGCTCCTTTAAATTCATTTTCTATTGATATTACATTATACTATTACATTTGAGTTTTTTACATAAAAATGTACAGTTGATTCAGGACACACTAATCCTAATCTTCTATACTATATAGCAAGTATAGTTTGTGAATTAGTATGGAGTCATACTCTTTTATGAAGGACAGACCCATAGCTGAAAGCAAATAAGCATCCTGATCCTGATAACGTGGCAAATTACGTTTTATTGTTGGTTTTAAGGAGGAGAGAGAAGAATGATCGTTCAGCCGACATCTTTAGAAGACCCCAAACTCAACAAACTTAAAGAGGTGAGATACTTAACAACTTTTTAGGGTGGTGTTGCATATAGCTAATGCTCAGGTTTGATAACCGGGAGATTTCTGGTTTGAGTTATTAAAAATGTCTACTAATTGACTCTACTAACTAACCGAGTGATCTCAGGGAGAACATAATTTCCTGAGGAGGGTCTGAATATCTGTGGATTTTCTCTGGTGCTTTGTGGCAGGTTTTGGTGGAATGGATCAACAAAACTCTGAAAGCTGAACACATTGTGGTGCGAGCACTGGAGGAAGACCTCTATGATGGACTCGTCTTTCATCACCTGTTACGTAAGAATCATGTCAAAGCAACAAAATGATTAACATGCACATTATTGGGTGAAGCTCACATACTTCAAGGAATATTTCACCCCAAAAATGAAAACATGCTAAAAATGTATTACTCTCAAGCTATCCAAGATGTAGATGAGTTTGTTTCTTCATCAGATTTTGAGAAATGTAGCATTACATCATTTGCTCACCAATGGATGCTCCACAGTGAATGGGTGCCGTCAGAAGGAGAGTCCAAACAGCTGATAAAAACATCACAATAATCCACAAGTAATCCACGTGACTCCAGTCCATCAATTAACGTCTTGTAAAGGGAAAAGCTGTGTGTTTCTAATAAAGAAATACATAACTTTAAACTGTCGCTTCTGTCAGTCCATAATTCCTAATAACACTTCCTCCAGTGGAAAAAAAGTCCAACTCCTGTTGTCCTCTCACATCAAAATCCACCCACATATTTATTAAGAACTGTTTTGGACTGTAAACAGTGCTTGATCTGTGCATATTTCTCTCCTGATTCAGACAAGATGACTTTTTTCACTGAAGAAAGCAATATGAAAGGACTCGTATTATAGTTTTTAGGAAGCAATAGTTTGAAGTTAAAAACATCTTGATGGAACTTTTCACTTCACAAGACATTAATTGATGGACTGGAGTGGT